CATTTTGACCAGTTGATGGGAAAAGTATTCTTAAAATGCATTCAAAATTCTGAATAATTTGTAATATATAATTATTCAAGGTATTTAGAAGTGCCCACGATAACAATATTGTTCATATGCATTACCGTGATATATCGCATTACCGAATACCGGCACAAGTCTAGCTCCCGATGGCCAGTACATGCCTGAGCATGATGCTTAGAAATTTTTACGGCAAAACACCTCAGGAATTATATAGTATTAAGTGAAAGTAGGGATGTAACGGTATGAACATTTCTTATCACGATTATAGTGAGCAAAATGATCACGGTTATCAGTATTATAACGTATTGTTAAAATGTTTTGGAAATGTTCAAAAAGTACTGACACAAATAATTTCACCAAGTTTTACATTTAAAATCAACAAACAACAAATAAAATTAGTTTTTGTTTGCATAACTAAAACAATAACATTGCCAATGATGTCCGGATTTTAAATGACAACATGACTGACAACAGTTTATCTAATAGCATGTTCAAATATCTCATGTAAATGTTCAAATAAAGCTTTGAACAAGTTTCATAAATGGTAAACCTCACATTTCAGCTTTTAAATAAAGAAAAGGGTCAAGTCAAAATGATAATTGATTAATAAATGATTATATGTATTAAGCAAAATAAGCTTGTTTTTCATCAACCGGTCAAAATTTACAGCAGGGCATGCAAATTCGGTCCATTTTTTGGCCCAGACAAAAACTGCACCCAGGCTGAATGTAAATGTAACTCTCTGTAAATCCACTCTCTGTAGCTTTTGGAACAGTAGAATTAGAGCCGTTTCCCATAACCTCCAAGGACAAAGATATATTAATTTGTATAATTCCCTTAGCACTCTTTAAAACTTCCCAGCTTTTCCTCCATGTTTTCACACACAACTAAACCACTTTGCTGCTGTGGGCACGTGAGACTGTTAGGCTTGCCGCGATAGACTCCACATTGTTTGCTGATTTTTACTTTATTTAAACTTTGTCATTTATTTTATTTTATTTGACATCCAGGTGTATGCCGTGCCTCCAAGCTTTCTTACTCGTTTTGCTAATAAACGTTCTACGTTTCTTATTTATTTGGTTATATATTATACATGTTTACTTAGGTATACAAAACTGGAAATAGGCTATTTAATCTTTATGCAAGTTATTTGTTATTTTATATTAGGTGTATTTGTATTTGTTTTGTTAATAAAAGTTATATGTTTTATATATAGGCTTAAGTGAGTTTGACGTTGTATTTTGTTGTTGCATTCAAGCAATTGACACCTAACTACCGCTAATTCAAAAGTAAAAGTAAATTGCGCACGGCGCTTTTAACCTATTTAAAAGCGACAGAAAGCGAGGAAAAGAGGGAACGCCCCGCCCCCGCGGTAATACCGGTATTACCAGTGTTGTCACACGTCGATTAACCGGTGGGAAAATTTCCTCACCGTCACAACCATAGAGACTGTTACCGAAAACTGTTTTATGCTTCAGGGCTCCAGACTCATTCTTCCCACTGGTCCCTTTTTTGCGACTAGCTTTCTCAGTTGGTCACACCAGCACATGATTTGGTCGCAGTATTTTGATTTTTAGGGATTAATCAAATGCATGCTGATAAACTTTTATCATACTTTATAGTTATATGAAAACGAAAGTGATTAACATTCAACCCCTTCTTTTTCATCAGTTTTATTTGTGATTTAAATTTTGTGAACTGGATTTTGCTATGTGAACCTATTTTGCTATGTTATAAGCCAGGGTTTGGATGCTTTCACTTTCGAATTCACGATCTTGGTGTCACGTTTTACAAGAAACGATAATTGTCTGATTTGATTACATACATCTATACATATTTCACTTTTTAAGACTAAAACAAAAGATGGATTCATTGTTATTCTTAATTAAAAAGCATAACAACAATAAAACAGTAAGATACAATGACAAACTAGCTTACAAAACGTTTATTAACAAAAACGAATAAGACGAGGCATGGCATACACTGCATGCTGTATTATATACCGACTAATAAATTACAGAACATTTAGCAAACACTGAGGAATCAAATAAATCTAAACTTGCTGTCGGTGACAGTGCTTGCATGTTTTTTGCCCTCACAAGAATACCAGCATGTTCACCTTTGGTTTAAGAAGCGGTCTTTTACTTTACTTTAGCATGAAAACCAATATTCGCGTCATTTTTGCTTCGTGCTCCTGCTGACACGGCGAGTATAAACCAGGCTCTACATTCTATAAGCGCTGCAGTTTACACGAGTAGCGCGGTTTTGTTATGCTTTCAGTTTCCGTTTGCTGTTTCACATATGCAACAGAAATGGCAGCGCTTATGAGTTAAACAATGCGGTGTTCGCGCCAGTGCGACCGCACAAAAAATTTAGTCGCACCGGCAGAAAGAATGAAAGCAAAATGCACCCATCTGGTCGCACTCTGGTCGGAGCCCTGTGCTGGACAGTATTTATTTATCCTCAGTTGTTCAAATCGCGGTAATCAAAACGGTTATTGTGATAATTAAAATATGAAACGGTATTACTAACTGTGGGGTATTTTATCACGATTTATCGTCAAACCGGTAATCGTTACATCCCTACTATCGGCACAACCCTACTACATTGCAAATAAAGAAGGACCAACAACTCAAGCTGCAACAAAAGTAACTGTCTATTTGCCACCATCACTACTGATATTTCTCAGACAACATACACAAGCTGGATCTTCTTCGGGTTTTGCCTTGATACTGTGGATTACACCAGCAACACTCCCATAGACAATGCCAACTAGTGGTCTACATGAGTAATGCATGTTGTCGCAGACGACAAAGCAGATGTATAAATGAAAACTGACACATAGCCTAATAAGGCGTAGAGCAGGGGTGCCCAACCCTACTCCTGGCGATCGACTAGAATAAAAGTTACGCCTTCTTTCTTTGCGTGAACATTTGGGCGGCGTTATGCAAATCTTCCCACATAGTGACCTAGATATGTGGGGGCGTGTTAGAATGAGCCGTTTTAGGTAGGCGTGGTTAACTCTTAAC